GTAAAAAAAAATAGCATTCTTAAAATAAATATTTTTAAAGTTTTGTCAAATACCTTTTTTTATACGTCTATTTTGGTTGTTAGCTTTAGTTTATTTAGCAGATGGATAATAAAATAATTAATATTTATGATTTTATAAATTAATATTTTTAAATATTTTAGTTAATTATAAATTAATAAAATTAGGAAGATCAAATACAATTATAATATTCATGTACCCGTAACAAAACAATCACCATCATCAGCGTGAAGCATCTTCTTTTTCTTTACTTTTAGGCTGTAATCCAATAAAACATTCAAATTTTATATCTTGATTTTAAAAGATTTGAACGGCGGTGGATGAAAGTATAAAGACAGAGAAACAGTCAACTTTATTATAAATATTAAAGCGAGTGAATAAAAATCCCCGTAAACTTATTCCATGGTGGAAATTTTCTCGCAATTGTCAAAGATCCATATTTGACCAACCTCCTACTGGCTGCATCTATATATATCATCCTGTCTCGTCTCCACGGCTCAGAATCCATATATTTTCGTTCTTCTCATCTTTCTCGCAATCAAAGCTCAGCTCTCTACAAACCTTAATTACTTGAAAAGGAACTGTTCCATAGGCTTGTAACTCTGTGTTCTTGAGTGCTAAAAACTCATCAGCTCTTTCTAGTTTCGACATAATTTGTGTCATCTTTTCAAAACTTCCATCCGCAGCACAAATTAGCAATCAAAGTTAAAACAACCATGAAAGATCACCAGTCAAGGTTCCTACAGCCATCTACCCTGATGCGGGGTCACCTTACAAGTTCTGAGTCCTTCTCAAAACGGGTTAGAAATGTGAGAAATGGCCAAGGACATGATTTGAGTCGGATGAGTAATGTCAGAATTGCCATGATAAAGGGTTGGGATGGTGGTTTGGCCTCACCACGGCGTGGCTTTCGAGGGGAGGGAGAGGCGTCAACGCCCAGGCTTGAGCGATTCAAGGTTCGGACAGTGCAGGTCGGACAGGTTGTTAAGGAGGAGGAAAGCAAGTGATTTGATCAAAAGGAAGATCATCCATGTACATTAATGTACAGCATCCGTCACCCACCCGGCCACCCCCACTAATTTTTTTTTTTTGTCGAGATAGATATTGTATAACAAGTACTCACATATACTTTTTTACCAAGGAACCATTGGAGTGGACCTAAGGTGTCCAATCTCATTTAATGTTCGGTTTTATGCAGTTTAATATTATTTCGATTGCATAATGCTTTTTTCTTTTACAAATATTGACAGTTTGTAATTTGAGAGAAAAGAAATGTAATTTAATGAATTAGTAATTTGTTGAAAACATATATTTCTCTCTCTTAATTTTGGGTTATACTTGGATTGCACGATTAAAAACAACTATTTTCATTTCCTTAATTCACCTCCCTACTAATATGACAAGAGCCTCACATCCAGAGTCTTTATATTCAGGAAGGAGATTTGATCCACTTGGGGCGTGGGTAACCCCTATGTTAATCTATGCTAACCAAGGACCTTTTGTCCCCTTCTCCCACCACCCTCCTTCCGCCATTCAACATTCTACTAAAAAAATGTGTTTAGGTGAATAAATCCTGCTTAAGGTGTTTGAGAATGAATTTTTATGTAATCAAATTCCTGATGTGAAAAAACTCTTGCCATCGGAGTTAGGGTTGAGATTTTTGAGACCCTTCCTTTAGGATCTCTTCTCCATAGAAGTTTCCTTCCCTTTTTCTTCTCCTTTTTCTCATCGTTGTTCTTCCCCTACCGATTCATGTCAGTTTGGTGTGAGAGGCCTGCGGCTTCAACTAGATTTATTGGAGTTTAGCGTGATCATCAGCAGTGGAAGGCGCGCGACGGCCTAGGCTCTTCCTGTGTAGTTCCTTGAATGTTGACTAATTCTTTTGGAGTTTTGAAAGTTGGGACGAGGGACGTAGGTCGCCTGCAGGAGTTACGGAGTTTCAAGGGGCTGACAGTTGGGTGGGGCATATGGCTCATGGGTGGTTGGTAGTGGATAGGTTGGTGTGGGTGGTAATTAACCGCTTGGATGTGGACATGCTTTCACTTGGGCAAGACATTATAGTAGTCAAGGAGACTCTTGTAAATTTGTAATATCTGTTTTTCGCTCTCCCCGGCCGGTTGTTGGCATTATTGGTGTGTTACTAGCTACTTAAAAGCTTGGATGCAGAAAGCGTTAACTTTTTTAATATCTATATATAATCCTGTAATTGCCTGGCCTATGATTATTACTCAAGTATTTCATAACGTATTGAAGGCTTACTAAGCGTAATTGTTTATATTTGTTATGAGTAATATTTTTTTGTACTAAAATCATCATATACATATTTGTTTTCTTGCACTCATAAGGTGTGTATCATAAGTTTAATTGATGTATATGATTTCATTTAGAAATGTTTTATACAAATCTTTTCTATTTAACATTTTACCTAATATATACATTTATTATTCTTAATTAATTTCAATTAATGTTATATATATTTTTATTAGTTTCAATTATTATTTTATATGTTCTTAGAATAATAAAAAGCATTAAGATCTATAGCTATAGCTCTATGTCTAACTCCAGCAAACTACAAACGCATCACTCCCAAACAAAACCTATATTCGTTTAATGTTTATCAATGAATTTATGATTTTACAAAAAAAAAAAAATCCACATATTAGGTATCCTTTGACCAAAAAAATAAAAAAAACACAGATGTAAGACTTTCGAAATTCGAAATCAATCATCAAACTTTTCGGTTTTATTTTATCCTGGCGCCCAACTATAGTCACGCGTCAGTCCTAAGGTGGTCCAATCCGAGGTCCACACATACTGGACCAGTCAATTTGGTTACGAGCACAGAACTATTAAGCAGTCTTCTAAAGCCTAAGTTAAGTTCGACCTAGTCCCATCCCAATCAGACCCAGATGTGGCCAGCCCACTTGCCATCTCTAATGCAAAGAGTGGGAGCACCTAGACAAAAATGCAATGAATGATTTGGGGAACAAGAACTAAGGTGGTACCACCAGCCAATCTAGTGATTGAGTTATTTACCCATTTGATGCCTGTGTAATGTTAAACTTTTAAGCTTTATTTGATTTAGCCATTTCAACCGGCTATAATTGAGAGTGACAAACAATTTTATCTATATTTTACAAACAAGTTATTTTAGTATTTTTTAATTTAAATTTATTAAAATGATGTAATTTTTAATTTTTTAAATATAATTATTATATAAGTAAAAAATTAATTAAGTGTAACCAATAACTCTTGTAAATCAATTTGTCAAAATATAACCCTTGTAAATCAACATGTTAATTACTCTTGTTTACTAATTCCCCCAACTCGCTAGGTACCTCTTTTTTTTTTTTTGTATTTACAATTAGAGTAGTTTTAAATCAGTTTTTGTAAACCTTGAAGTTAATTTTGCTCGAAGAGATCTCCTATATCAACTGATGTATTTAAAAAAATTAATTTCTTTAAGTAATAATTTTAAAATTTTAAATTATAAATCTAACTTATAAGATGATATTTACTTACCAATGAATCTAATTATTGGAGTTTTGTGGGGTACTCTTATCAAATAATGGATGCATTGACTTGGTTTGAAGTTATTGGTTCAATTTAACCAAACCAAATCTAATAAGTCAATTAATCAAATTTTTTGATTTACTTGGTGTATACTCATTAATTTGATTGCTGATAATATATATATATATATGTATTCATTCATTTCATTAGATATATTAGGTTTTTATTTTAAGATCTTAATAAAAGAAACTATCTGTGAAATTAATTTAAAATAATAAATATGTTAACCAGACGAATGTCATGATCTAGAGGATTTACCTATAGCTATATCAAGCTGCTTGCAAACTTTTCCCTTTTTTTTTCTTTTCTTCTTCTTTGAAATGAAGGAAATGAAATTGATTTCAGAAGTGAACAATCTACCATTCAAGCCACAGCTGTGGTTTTCAGTCTACACGAAATCCATACAAAAGCAATACGAAATTCAATGTGATCAAAAACATGAATTGACTTTTCTCTGAGACCAATCCATTCTTGACTTTTTGTGTTTCTTCCAGCCCAAAAAACCGATCCTTAACTTACGGCACTGAAAATATTCCCAACTTTAGAACTCTTCGATTCGAGTTTATAACTTAATTAGGAGATAGAAGAGGTCTTCCATTCTTTAACGATGAATTTTGTGAGACTCTATTGTAAATTTTTTTTTTTTTAAAAAAGGGCTACGATAAGTAAAACAATCGAAGACAATATTGAAGCTTTAACCAATGCTACGTTATATGGAAACTTGGCACAATAAACCCTTGTTTGGATTAGGGGATTTGGAGAGAAAGGGGAGAAGAGAAAGGGGGAGGGAGATGGAGGGAGGTGGAGGGAGATTAAACCCCTTTCACTTTTCTGATTTCTATCCCCCAATTTAGAGGAATTAAGACGGATTTTATTTGGGCATTTATTTATTTATTAATTTTTTAAAAATAAATAAATATAAATATTTTATTTTAATTATTTATTTAATAAATAATTTTTTATTATAGTATATTTTATTATTCTTTAAATTATTTAATTAAATAAAAATATCATTCTCCCTTCTTTTTTACTTTCATTTATCTAAATAACTTTAATAGTAATCCTTTTTTTTTTATTTTCTTCTTTTTTTAATTAATTTTTATTCAAATAAATACTAAGATAAATCAATATAGGCCCTAGCCTCTTCTTTTTCCTTTAGGCAAGTATTCCAATAGAAGTGTCAAATTAAAAAAAAAAAAAAAAAGAGTAAGTGTTGTCAATTGAAAGAGCATAAAAAAAAAAAATCAAAGATTTGTTGGTTTAAGTGGAAGAAATTCAGTTCTCCTTAAATAACATTTTGAATTCGAGTATTGTGAATGTAGAAACAGACGTTGGGAGAGCTTTCTCCCTAAGGAGGTTTAACGAGACTCGATTCTGAATTAGTTAAAATTCAATATAGTTACCAAATATCAAAAGATTAATATTAAAAAAAAAAAAAAAGAAGGGAGAAAGAGTCTTCTTTAGAGTTGCCAAAAAGCGAGTAATAAAGCCCGGGGCCCTCTTCCATACTGTTGGAAATGTTCCTGGGATTTTAATAATCCATATTGACCTTTTCTCCTTTCAAGCTTTTGCCGGCTGCACTGCCCCTATAAATATCATTTTCTCCACATTTCTGATTCCATACAGTTTTTCGTACTTCTCATTTTTCTGGCACACAAAGCTCAGCACTCTAGGACCTTATTAGAGCAGGATCTCTCCTCTAAGCTCGTCACTCTGTATCCTTGTGTTCTAAAGCTCAGCTCTCTCAAGTTTCAACATAAGTTATCATCTCTTCAACATCTGCAAGGCTAAATTAGCAACAAAATTGAGCATCCGATGAAGAGTCACCGGTCAACGCTCCTACAGCCATCTACCCTGATGCGGGGTCACCTTACAAGTTCAGAGTCCTTCTCAAAACGGGTTAGAAATGTGAGAAATAGCCAAGGACATGATTTGAGTCAGATGAGTAATGTCAGAATTGGCATGATAAAGGGTTGGGATGGTGGTTTGGCCTCACCACGGCGTGGCTTTCGCGGAGAGGGAGAGGCGTCAACGCCCAGGCTTGAGCGGTTCAAGGTTCGGACCGTGCAGGTCGGACAGGTTGTTAAGGAGGAGGAAAGCAAGTGATTAGATCAAATGGAAAATCATCCATGTACATCAGTGTGGAGTATATATACATCGTCCACCCCACCCGGCCACGACTGAAAAATTATGAATTTTTTTCTTCTTGGTTTGGACGAGAGTAGGTCATCCCTGGCCAAGTTTCATGTACGTGGAGAGTAATCTCTCTTAAACGATGTTAAGGTCGCATAGGACTTAATCTACAAGAAAATCAACGTTTATTTATCAGTAGATTAAATTTTTAGGTTAAAAATTATGGTTTTGTAATTTGACGAAAAGAATTTAATTTAATGTTTATTAATTGTAATTTTATGATTTTATATACTCTATAACAATAACATCTATGTTTTTTGTTTTCTTTTAATTTGGGTTGCTTTTGTGTTTTATAACGAAATGTAACTCTTTTTTATTTAATTAACTCATTTCACTCCCATAACTTTGTTTTTTATTTTTTTAACTCATTTTACTCATATAAAATATGATTGGAATATAAAATTTTTTAATTTCATAAAAGAAAATTAACTTTGAGAATCACTTAAGTCATGCTTAACATTGATGTTAACCCAGGACCACTTCTCTCTTTTCACCACCCTTCTTCCACATACTATTTACATTGAAAAAAGTCTGTCTTTAGGTGAACAAATCCTGAATGGAATCAAATTCCGTGTTTGGGTGTTTAGGTCGTTTGATTTTATCTCTTAAGATTTTTATTTGGTTGGATGAAACAATTTTTTATTTGTCCCTTTCAATCCTCCCCAACTAAAATACTCCAATTAGGTAGGAGGATCTTTGGGAAAAAAGAAAGTGTTATCTTTTTTTTTTTCTTTTTTTTTTCCTAGTTTTTTTAACAAGTTGTCAGTGGACGAGCTCGAAGCCCGTCCATGAAAAAGAGAGAATGCATCTCAAGTTGGCAGAGTAGCAATTAACTCGAAAGGTCAGGTATAATTTAATAGCCTAGTTTGTAACTATAACACTAGGTTTTTTAATTTTATAATATGTTAGGAATATATTTAATATATTTAATATTTATTTTAATTAATATTTTATATTTTTTTAAATAATAAAAATATATAAAAATCAAAAGCTAAATTACTAAAAAAAAATGTTCTCTAACAAAGTCTAAACATTGAACCTTACACCTATTGCTAGAGGTCTCTTTTAAAATAACTCATATTCAAATATTGAAAAAGAAAAGAAAAGAAAATAAAATTCTGATTTCAGATACTATAATAAAAACAAAATTCCTGATGTTAGGCTGCCGAAATCAATCTTCATCCAAAGTTTTGGTTTTAATTTTTTTTTTTTTAATCTTGCCCCAAAACTAATTAGAAATTAGTCCCAAGCTGGTCTATTCCTAGGCCCAAGTCAATGCCACAAATAGAGTGGTCCTCGAGCCCAGAGCAAAACCATTAACCGGTTCTCTAAGTTGAGTTCGATCCAATCCCTAGCAGACCAGTTATGGTAGGCCCACTTGCCATCTCTAATGCGCAGATAAAGGAGCAGCCCAACATGAATACTAGAAGAACAATAGTGAATAATTTTATAATTATAATATCACATATAATTATAAATTTATATTTTTAAAATATTATTAAGTAAATAAATATATAATATTATAAATAAAATTTTAAATAAAAATAATTATATATTAATATATTATAATTATAAATTTATAATATTACATAACATTCTAATTATATTCTAATTATATTATTTTTGAAGAACAATGAAAGTAGTGCCATCCAACCATGCCGTCAAGTGGTGCAGCCTTTTAATATTTAAATTTCTTTTTTATTTTTGTTTGATCAATTGTATTTAAGTTTCATCAATTCATTTTTTCTCTCATTTAAATTTCAATTATTAAATTTGAAATAAGAAAATAATAACAACTAAATACATTTATGTTATTTTTATATGATCTTAATAATTTTTTTTGTGGCTATACCTATGACCATTTTCTACTCTTATGATATATTTAATTTGAAAAAAATAAAAATAATTAAAAAAGAGAAATAAATTAATACAACATTCCTTCATTTCCTTTCGTTATCCTTCTCTCTCATCCCTTATTAAAAAAAAAATAATAATAAAGCACTCTTCTCCCTTTTAAACTTTTTCTTAATCAAATAAAAGAATTTACATCACTCCCTTCATTCCTCCCACCCCCAAACTAAATGTACTATTAGACTATTGCATCGGATATTCGGATGAGTAAAAGATCCATTGTTTATTTTCAAAAAAAAGATGAGTAAAAGAAAAAAAAAAGTTGAAAATAACAAGTCAAGTAATCGGTAAGGTGGGCCCAAATAGTTTCTGGGGAGCACAATTACTGGTTCTCTGACTTTCAAAGAGATGAGGAGAAAAAAAGGGAAAAAAACACTTGAACCTTGCTTCTCCAGTCTTTTTATAATTAATGTTTTCAATATAGATAAATATTACTAATTAAAGGAAAATGTAGAAAAATGTAACCAATAACCCTTGCAAATCAACGTCTTAATTATTCTTGTTGACTAAGTCCCCCAACTTGCTCGCTTTTCTTACCAGACAATTAATGGATGTTGGGCATGTTTGTTTACCGATTTTATATTTCAACTGTTAAAGGGAATATTGTTCAAATTAGATATTATAAATTATAAATAATAGTTATTAATTGTTTAAAATTAAATATCAGTTATAAATAAATAGTAAATCTAAACATTTTATTGTCTTTCACTTCTTGGCTTTGAAGTCCCCTTAACTGGAATTTTTACTAAGCTTAATTTGGGCAAATTCCAGACTAAATAATGAGTTAATATTAAGAGCACTGTTACCTTTTGCATTCCATTCTTTTGATATATTAAATTAAGTGCTTCAAGCAGTCGGAGGGAAAGGGGATGGAGAGGAAAGCACAAGTTTAAACTCTTATTGTAAAATTATAGAAGTTTTTTATACTAATTGACAAAAGAAGTAAATCACTTCAATTATTAAGATTCTGTATATCCTTTTAAATCACATGTTAAAAAAGAAGTAATAATATCAATAACTATTATTTAAAAATTTACAATCTGTATTGTAGTGAATTAAATTGTATAACTTAAACAATTGATAGGGAATGAGTTACTTGATATTAAAAATTATCTTTTATTTAATAATTTCTATTCTATAATTTGATTTACAAAATAAAATTCTTTTACCGTTAGAAACTTTTCATTAGAAGACCTTTAAAGTTAGATCCATTAATAACAAAATATCATTTTATAGGTCACGTTTAAATAATAACTAAATGTCATTTTATAGGTCACATCTAAATTTTAAATCTTTCAATATAGTCTATGTACTTTTAAAATTATTTAAAAATAAATTAATGAACACCCAACTGCAAAAAGGAAAATTATATCACATATATTGGCACTCAATAAATTGTTTTATTATTGAGGGTTTGGCTTTTCAAAACATCCTGTAATTATTATTTATTATATTTATTAACACTTCTTGATATTTATTTAAGATCATATCATGGGAATTTCCAAAGATTTTCCTCAGCAGTGTAATCGGCGGCTGCGGCATAGCCGGCATCATCCCAGCGAGGAGGGCTCATGAGCATCCCTTGAGCCATATTGACAATCACATTAGGCATATCAAAGATCAAATCATCATCCACAAACTCGTTACCCATCTGATTCTCTGGCTCGACTTGATTGTTGCTTGCCTCATCATAATTACTTTCCCCACTTTTATCGGATAAAGCATCTTTTGCCGCTCCAAAAGCAGTAGCTGCAGAAGTTGCAGCCACCTGGATATCGCGATGGGAGTTTGAGGCTGGCACGGGTAAGGATGGAGCGGTGTCGGGAAAGTTCAGCTCCGCATATGGGCCTTTTAGGGCAAGCGCCGCCACATCATAAGCGATAGCAGCCATTTCAGGAGTAGGAAATGTCCCCAGCCAGATTCTGTTCGGCGTTCTTGGCTCTCGAATTTCTGAAACCCATTTCCCGCTTCTCCGCTGCCTCACTCCTCTGTAAGCTGTATGACGGGCTGGCACAAGTGCACCTGCAGCAACTCAGATTTCTATTTTTTATTTTTCCAGTGAGAGTAAATTTATAGAAGGATAAATTTTTTTTCGAGTAATAGTTGTATTCAAACTTTATTAATTAATTGTAAAATATTCCGGGACAAAGACACACAATTTAAAATTGTGAGTTTAATTCTTATAAATAATAAGTATTTTTTAATATTTTTCTTATATTTTATATCGTATTGAAGTGGAGATAATTGTGCATTGTACGATTGTATACTACTCCGTGCACTATCTATAAGAAGTTAAAAATTTCACAACTCCACTCAATATTTGGCTAAGGGAATTTATAAGAAACATTGAGAGACTTAAGTTTCAAATCTTAGGTTTGACTCGATCTTATATAAGATATTGGGCGAGGAATTTAGTAAGGTGCAAAGCTATATCTAATTGTAATCTAACATTAGTTGAAGATGAAAACAAATTCATAAGCAAATATATTTCAATAACATAAATAAAAAAAAGATATATAATTAGTTAAAACCTCTAATAAATTTTTTTAGGATTTTAAGTGGTAAGGGCAGTGCCCCAATGCCTCCATTCTGAATTCGCCCTACCTGCTCCCCTAGAACCAGAACCAGTGTTTCCAGCTCCATTGCTGCTACCACCACCGGTGCTGCTGCTGGCAAGATACTGCATGGAAAGGAGTGCTTGGTTTCAATTTTGCAGATTGAAGCTGCCATCTATATGGGTTTTAAAAGGAGAGAAGCTAATCTAATTAGAGGTATAAATTAGTGCAAACCAGTTGTTTTTTAATTGCGGCGTGTTCAAGTTCCGGGTGTAAACCAGCTTCCCTGGGGTTGGGTTACTGCGTTTTTGCTAGCTCAATAACTGCAAATCACAGCATCAAGCAAAGACATGATGTTTTTAGGTATTCAAGTCGCTTTCGTATGATATATATAATGTTTTAAAAAAAGATTTGGTTATGATTCGTGTAAGGAGAATGAAGAAATAAATGTGTCGATATAAGAAGAAGAAAAAGGGTTATACATTTAAGTGCAATCTCGTCGGAGGTGTCATTATCATCACCAATGCAGCACACATATATATTGTCAATAAACGTTATAATGTTAAATACGAATATATCAGAGGTTTGGTGCGATGGGTGACATATATGGATGGAGTGAAGATGATCTTAGCTCTTGTGCAAAACATCGGGCGCATCAATCCGTTTCAGGTTACTTCAAGTTTAAGCACATCATAACCACCTCCTTGTGACAGGTCTTTCTTATTAATATTGCAGAGTTCTAATTTGAAAATTTAAGACTACACCCCTACGTACATGTATTATACATTCGAAGAAAAAATTTTTCGTAGTACCGTGGCCGTTTGGTAAAACCACTTATGGGGGAGGGATGGAAGAAGTAATGAGGGTTTGACCCCTAAGTATAAGAGTGAGGAAGCGCCTTTTGTTAATACTAGGGGATGGTAATTTCTATTAATCCTTACGATATAATTTTTGTCACGGGATAAAAGAGGGATGGAGAACATTTTTTTCTTGTGAAATTTCATGTAGAATTTTTTTACCTGCAAGATCTTTATTGCTTGTGTAATATTAAAAAAAAAAAAATCAATTCAGTTTAAGTATTTAACTCATTATCATTGGTTCGATTTATTACTCATTATTAATTTTAACCAAATATTAAAGCCTAATTACCTTAAACTGAACCCAACGCAATACTTTTTTTTTTCAATCTTTATCAAACTCTTTAAAACATTCTGTTTTAAAATAATAAAATAAAAATAATTAAATTAATTTTATAATATAAATTGGTAAAAGGTGAAAAATCTCTGCAAATAACAAGAGCAAATTCTATCATGTCAAAAATCCCTATGGGGGATAAGAATAAGGAGGCACTGCTTGACCCCACAGGCCCTATTGCCATCCCTGCTAATACTTTGGCTCACTATTTCAATGGCCTTCTTCACATTAGGATATGTTTTGGTATAAACGAATTCTACCAAAAAATAAAGTATGGAATTCATTTCTAATTCAACATTTTTGTCTTTGGTATGATTTAAAACTTTTTATTTCAATTCTATACCATATTGCGTTTGATTTGTTTAAAATTTTGTAAAATTCATTTATAATTCTATATTTCTTGTGTTTGATTTGATTAAAAAAAATTTAGAATTCAATTCTAAACTTCTAAATTATGAAAATGTCCAAAACTAATCAAATTCTCATCAATTTTGATGAGATTTTGAAATGAATTTCACAGTTTTTAATGACTCAAGCGTTTAAATTACTAATATATCCCTCGAATTATCTTTTATTACTCTCATTCACAAATAGTAAGGTAGTCTTTGAAAAATTGAATATTAAACCTATTCTATATTTATTTCAAATATAAAATCTTTTTGAAATTCAGTTGAAAATTCTATAATTTCATGAATTATTCCAAACATAAGAATTCACTTATAAATGAATTTCTAACTAGTTGGTTTTTTAAGTGAAATAAATTCTATTTTCATTAAAATTAAATACACTAAAATTTTTTTAATAATTACAAATTCATTCGAAAATAAAATGAATTCTAATTCATTTGCATACCGAACACATTTTAAGAAAATTAAATTTTCTTAAGTGTTGACCTATGACTTAAAACAGGCAACTTATATAATGGATTTTTCTTTATATCTCTTCTCCAACAGTCCAACTAGGAAAAAGTAGAGTAATGGGCAATTAGAGGATTTGGAATTATGGTTAGAGAGGTTGATGTGATGACGTTTGGTTGTTCTGTCCAGTGTCCACCTAGAAAAGGAGCCCAAATTAGTCTTCGGTATTGAAATTAAACTTGAAAGAGACATGAGTAAGGAAAACTGAATTAACATTAGCTTAGGGCATCAATATATGAATAGGTCAAGACCTTTAGCATAGGATAAGCTTGACGGTAACGCGGCAGGGAGAGAGGAGCAACTTGCAACACGTTTTGCCATACCTGCAACACGTTCAGTCGACATATATACTGGTGATAAAAAAAATAAAATAGGCGCTCTGTCGACATACATGTATGAGTTATAATGATTTTTTGACAATAAAAATTCATGATAAATTTTAGAAAAATGATGTGTGCACACTCGGGTGTGCACACATCATATAAAAAAAAAATGCCCATTACCCGGTTTAATTTTTTTTTTTATGTGGGGGTTGCACACCCAGTGTTGAATTCGGGTGTGCACCAATCATTGTCCTAAATTTTATGATTTCTACATAGCATAAAATAGGTAAATACATATTAAATCACATGTCATACCCCTATTTAGAAAGGGTTAGTAAGAATTCTGTCACATCACATTGTAAGATTTCATTACCAATAATCATTGTCAAGAAATTACTCTCCTACAAACATGATGTTGAATCAAGGTTAATTGTCAATTTTAATCCCTCAATTTTAGAGTTTTGTACATTTTTCATTTCTTAAATTTTTTATACATTTTTTTTGTTCTTTAACTATAAAAAAATATACTTTTTAATCTTTCCATTAATTATATTGTTAAGTCTATCAATGTATGCATATTTTTAGTCTCTCAACTTTAGAAATTTACATAATTTTTGTCCTTTAATTTAGAGGTTTGGTAGATAAAAAATATATATATGGACAAATTTAACAAACTAACTCAAGAAATGATTAAAAAATATATTTTTTCATGATAAGAACCAAAAAAGTACATAAAAAATTTAAGGGCAAATGCAATAGCCTAAATTGAGAGACCAGAATTAGTATTCAACAATGAATCAATAGTAAGCAAGTGTCATAGTATTGGGAGTAGCACTAAGATATTCATTTTTTTTTAATGTATTACGTTGATGTGAGGGGTGCATTTTTTAAAATAGTTAAAAAAATTATATAAGACTCAAAATGCAGAAAAATTAAATTAAGAATAACCTAACAGTAGGAAAAAAAAATCATTTTCCTATATGGTGCCACTCTGGGTCGGTTCAGAGTAGTTCTTGGAGTCTGACATGTCACAAGCCCAGCTTATCTCTGGGCTCAGTACGAATTGGTCTGCACACTTTAAATACACTGAATTCAGACTAGTTGCGACGTGGTTTGTGAGCCGGACATCCTCGTGGCGTTTCTAGGCTGTTACAATAAAGCATAAACATTGTTGACCTGGGCCGGACTTAAATGAAAATTTCCTAAACACCATAAATAAAGAATGTCAATGACCCTCCCATTGGAGAATAATATATGATTCTTAGAATCAATTTTTAGGACCGAATTTTGGGACAAATTTATGGTAATATTGGTCATAGTAAGAGTCTTAAATTAATAGACCCGCATAATTAATGGTGGTGGGGATTTTCTGCCATGCTACCGAACATAGTCCAGGAGGCTTCCAGGCACATTGTGCTAGGGATGAGCAATGCTAGAACAAGGAAAGTGTGGTCCCATTTTTTTATAGTTATTGCATGGTCTCTATGGAATACACGTAACAACCTTATCTTTAGAGCTAGAGAGGTTTCAGTGGAGGATGCATTTGAGAATATACAAATTATAATTTTTCTATGGCTTAAAGGAAGGGCCATGGGATTCACTTCTTCGTTTCATGATTGGGAAAATAACCCCTTAGATTGTGCAGTGGCCATTAGATGGACCAGACTTTGAATTTATATGCCATTTTTGTAAACTTTCAGGATTTGTTTGATGGTATTGTAGCTGATTGATGTAACTGGTTTGATATACCCCTTATATTTCATTAATAAGTCATTTTATGTGTTAATGAAAAAAACTTATATAGTTATGTTGAAATAATTTTGTCCTAAATTTTAGCATTTATGATAATCATTACTACTGATCACTATAACATGTTAATATATTTTACTTTTTATTCAATAAGGTCTCACATCAATTAGTTAAAATTTGAAATATTGACACTCTTATAATCTTGAAGTTGTGAATTCAACTCTTATACATAATGAGTTTTTTTCTAAATTTTACCTAATTTATATGTACTTTACTAAAGTGGTCGAATATATTTTGTTCATTAGTTGAGACCCTTGGCAGCATCAAGGATCAATTATTCATTTAGGTAGTAGTATTCCTGTTTTTCATTTTTGGCAAATTACGAGCAGCACAACAATTAGAGCTTGATTATGAGCTGTTCGAAAAAGCGTATAAAAGACAAAAACCCAGCAGCATATGGAAGACACCTGTCAGAGTTTTATGGGGCTTCCATTATTTCAAAACAAAGATCCAATAAAATGTTAAATTGCCAATTTAATGCCTCAACTTTCAAATTTATACCAAATTCGTCCTTGTACTTCATAAGTACCAAAAATATCCTTCAACTTCAATATTTAGTACCAATTTTGTTTTTTCATTAGTTAAGTGTTGATATGGCTAATTTTTTTGTTGGGTAATTGGTTGTTTTAAATTTTGAATATTATGTGGAAAATCCAATGTAAAAAATGATTATGTGAAAAATTTTATAATTTTGAATGGTACAATAAAAATTACTTTAACCTCAAATTTTGTTTTTGTCTATGTTAGAAAATTAAAAGAATTAATGTGTCTACCTATTTAATTGGTCCTACCTACCATAATTAATTCAATTTATAAACAAATCAATTAGCTTTCATTCAATTTCATTAAAGCAAATCTAATCATAATAAATTAAATTTAAACAAAACTTAAACAATAACAAATAGCTTTCATTAACCAATGACCTATTGGTTTGAGTAGAAAGAGCTCGATTTCCTTTAAATAAAATCTCGAGTTTAAGTCTTGTAAATGGAGAAATAGGTGTTAAGAGAGTTTCCTTCCTAATAGGGTCTAATCTGGTTTGATTCTAGATTAATTAAAACCCAATGTGGTTACCGGATACCGAGAGGTTAGTACAAAAAAAAATAACAAATAGCT